GCCTTCTTGTAAGTTATTTTAGTTGGTTTATTAAATAACTATGACTCCTTTAAAAAATCACCAAGTCACTGAGTAGGTATAGTTGTCTTCCATTCTCCTCAGCTCACTTATTAGTTGTTTTTAGATTTGAAAGGCTTTTTTATTATAAAAAATTCTATTCAAATTTCAGCCATATAGCACTGTTAGCTGTTCTTACTTGATTTGGAATAAGTACCATAAAATAAGGGACTTAAAGAAATATATTTATTCCTCTCCACTGATTTATGTGAAGTGAATTTTTAGAAAAAGTCAGTATTTATAACTTACCTGTTAATTTTAAAATCTAACAGATTGACATGCTGCTGAAAGAATACTTACTTTCTGGAGATATATCCGAAGCTGAACATTGCCTTAAAGAACTAGAAGTACCTCATTTTCACCATGAACTTGTGTATGAAGTAAGACTGACATGAGATTTCAAGTGTTAATCTTTTTGGACAGTGCTGACATTTTCCCTTTATTTTTATCTTTTATTCTAACAATAATAATCAGAAAGTAGAGTTGTTTTCTAATTCTTGTTTAGTACTGAAGACAACATGTACTTCTCATTTAGATGATGGAAAAAGGATTTTCATAAAAAGTTTTAAAATTTCTTAACAATTCAAATTACTCATTAAACTTTCACACTTATTTTAGGCAGTTGTGATGGTTCTGGAGTCAACTGGAGAAAGCACATTTAAAATGGTATTGGATTTATTAAAATCCCTTTGGAAATCTTCTACCATTACTGTGGACCAAATGAAGAGAGTAAGTATTCTGTTACCTTGAAAGATTTTCCTCACCTCTTTTAAGGGTTCTGGTGTTAGGTATGCTTAGTCTTTATGGTTATGGGGATGTTGAATATGACTACCTACAGGATGATGAAGGCTCAGTTTGTCCTTTGTGTGCAGTTATTTGGATGTGTGACTATGTGAATCTAAAATATTTTATCTCTAAGATAAATGTTAAATTTATCATCATCATTAAATATATCATTATTATTCTTATTAAAATCCTTCTAGTTTTAACTGGACACTTTTCCTTTATGTTGTATGTATTATTGAAATAATTTGACTAGTTTAATGTCTTAGTTTATTTCTCTTACCTTCTATTTTATTATTCAGGTAGTAAAAATTTCAAGTCTATGGATAGCAATAGGGTGAATGGGTAGCATTGCTTATATAACATTATCTGTTATTAATGAAGTGTCTGTCTTCATCAAGACTTTTTTATCTGATCTCAGTTTACAAGTCTTATTTGAAAATGGCATGGATATGATGGAGGTATTTCTAACAAGAAATCTATTTTCTGTATTCTTCAGGGAGCATATTATACCAGTTTAAATCATGAGCATGTGTCCTTAAATACCATTTGATGACATACCGGTTGATTGTATTGCCTAGCATTGTAATTTCAATGGGTTAACATTTTTATAGATAGTGATTAAATCATGTTTGTTTCAGGGTTATGAAAGAATTTATAGTGAAATACCAGACATTAACCTGGATGTCCCACATTCATATTCTGTGCTTGAGAGATTTGTAGAAGAATGTTTTCAAGCTGGAATAATTTCCAAACCACTCAGAGATCTTTGTCCTTCAAGGTATTTTGAATTGCTTCTTTCCTTTATGTAAGATAGAAGTATTAGCTGCAATACATATCCTAGAAGGCTAAGAATGGCTATAATCAGTAAGACTTATACCATACCAACCTTTCAAGAGTACAGTAGTATGCCCTCTGAAGTCATAGAAGGGTTGCCATTATCCTTTGTCTTAAGAGGAATTTATTTTAATGCTATGGAAGCCTATGGAAGATTTTTTTTTTAAATTTATAATGGTTCACACCAGTCCAAGGTTTGGAGAATGGGGCCAGTTATCAGTTCTAACAGGATAGGAGTATGTTATGCTGTTTGATAGTGATTTGCTTCATTAGTGCTTTTGAGAATAAATTTAAGAATCAAGAATCTTGAGTGGCTTTAAAAAACTCACTTGTTGCTTAAAGTGAGCAAATTTCTCCTTTACTATTACTCTTGGGCTAAGATACCCTGTGTTACTAATGATAGGAAACAATGTGTTCATTGCCACAAATAAGTATTTGAAGTAAAGTATGGTTTGGACAGCTCAAATTAGAAGTAAAGTATCTTTTGGGTTTATTTACCATAAGATGTTGCCTTTCATATATCAGATATCACCAAACTTCTAGAAGGAGCATAGGTTGAGAGCAGCCTTTTATTTAATTTTTATCTAAGCTCTTTTAAAGATCTGAGTATTTTCAAAGATAAAAAAAACACTTTTGACACTTAAATCCTGAAGAATACTAGAAATCTTCCGGCCGCTGGTTCAGACCAGTTTTACCTTAATAAATTTTGGATGGGAAGACATCTTACTGGTGATATGGGGGTAGGAAAGACTTAAAGCCATTGGTTGATTTTTACAGAGTCCAGTAAGACTTAAGCAGTGGCATCTTTTTAATATTGATTCTAAGTGCTGGTGTTGTGACATAACTTTTCTTCACACTCATATAAAAGGGAGGGAATTCTTGCCAAATATAGTCACATGTTCTATTGCTAGTAGGAGCCACTGGTACTACAAAAGTTAGTGAGTGTACTGTCACTTTCCTTATGCTTATGTCTTTTGATAGTCCTTATCACCTCTATACTGTTAAGCGATCAGCAATCAGCAGTCTATGTCTGGGCATGTCAAATGAAAAGAAGTGAGCTGTCTCACCCCTTTTAAAATATTGTTGATTCTTAGTTTTGAAGCCTAATCTGAGTATTTTCTGTTGACCTTTTTTGTTCCAGTGGTAATTTGGCAAAAGGCAAATTTTATCCGTATATAAGAACTTTGACTTTCTGGCTTCCCCTCCCTGGTGTTCAGGGTTAACTAGAACCAAAAGCAAAAAGTGATTTCTGCTGTTATTGTTTTGGTCCCATTTCCTCCTGAAATGAGGCTACTTTCAGTTCATGATCTGTGGTGGTATAGAATAAAACTCTGGCTCAGATCAGATAGGAATTAGTGGGAGGCCCAAAGTATATAGTGAGATGTGTATTGTAAGTGAATTTTAGAAAACCAGGTTTGACTGATTTTTTTCTAAAAATTTTCCATGTTTTTAATCGGCACATAAGGCTAGCTATCTCAGGCTTCAAATATTTAGTTCCATAAAAATGCTCATACAACCTTTCCATTTATACAATCTGAAAACAACAAAATTCAACAAGCTTCAATTTCAGCTTAAACTTAAAAAATTGAACAGAAAAGTTTTTTTTAAAGGAAATTGCTAGAAAAATGAATCCGTTCCTCCCCTAATTAAAAAAGTTGTAGTATATGCCAAAAGATGAAGTTCTTTTGCTGTCTTAGGTATAAAGAAATAAAGATTGTAATCAAGATTTATATTTAATTTGTGATTATGTGCTTTTTTTCAGGGGCAGAAAGCGCTTTGTAAGTGAAGGAGATGGAGGTCGTCTTAAGCCAGAGAGCTACTGAATTTAAGAACTCTTGCAGCCTTAGATGTTATAAAAATATGTCTGAATTGTAAGAGTTGCTTAGCAGTTTTTTTTAAGCACTTGTTTTGGGTACAAGGCATTTCTGATATAGTTTTATAAACTTACATTCAAGGTGGATTTTTTTTTAAAGAGTTTTCTTTCTTTTTTTTTTGTGGGTATAAAAGTTGAGGGAACAGAACAATAGCCACTCTGAAGTGGTATATTCAAATAAGCTACCCTTTCGTAAGTGCCATGTTTATGACCTAATCATTCCAAGTTTTGCATTGATGTCTGACTGCCACTCCTTTCTTTCAAGGACAGTGTTTTTGTAGTAAAATCACTGGTTTATACAAAGCTTTATATAGGGGGTGAAGTTAAGCTGCTGAAACCCCATGTTGGCTGCTGCTGTTGAAATACTGTGCTTTGGGAGAACAAAAGGTTATTTCTTTGTTTTAAAGAATTTTAAGAAAATGGGTTAGTCATAAGATTTATTCATCTTTCCAGGGAACATATTGATTGGTCTTAAAGACTAGACAGTTCAGTAAATGGTGGCTGGAACATCTATTTTTCTACAAAACTGGAAAAATGAACCAGGTTCTGGAAGAATGTATTACAAAATAAAATTTGTGAAGCAGTATTTTTGCGTCTTTATTAAGATAAATTTTATTTGGAGAATTCTCAGTAAGTTATCATACTCATTTAATTGTGCATATGAAGTTTTTTTATACTACTACATGAATTTCAAAGTCTCAATCAGCTTTTCAAAATTAATGAACTTAGCAGTTATAAAAGCTCTTTTTCTTGTGACTGAGTAGTAATTTAAAATGTATGGATGGTTAAAAACAAACCAAAAATATGTGCTAATAAATAGTAGCATAATGATGTGCTTGTTCTTTTGTAGACAGGGAGCAAATACAGGAAACATTCTGTTAAAACTACATTGGCAAATCTATGTGACTTCAGAAGATTCTCCCTAACATTTTAGTAATTGACCTAGGAGGAGATGAAGCATGTGTTTAGAAATTTGCATGAGATTTAACCCCACTGACATTCTTAAGTTGACAGTTACAGGAATGTAGCATTAGCTTTGTTAACTAACAAAAGCCAACAGAATTATAAGTCATATTTTTGAGCCTTGTTGAAAATAGTGCTTGCCCACTGTGTAATCTCAGACTCAGTCCAATTATGTAGCAGAGCTTGATGGCGTATTTTAAATTATTCTGTACCACATTGAAATAGACATATTGAAAACTCTTAATTTGTTAGTGATATAAATTATAGACCTACTTCTATCATTAGCTTAGAGTAACAGTTTGTTCTTAGGCCTTCTGTAGCTTGTTTAAATTTTCTATTCAATTTTTAAAAATACTGTGTAGTTAGACTAATGATTAAAAAGATCTTAGGATTCCCCCTTTTCTATTACTACTATTTTAGAACTGAAAACTTGTAAAGGTGACTACCAAGATGTGGGTGTAAAGTCTAAAGCATGCTAAGACAGATATGTATTTAAAAAAAGACAGCCTTTTATTGTTCAGGAATATTGCTACATTTATTTTGTTCCTTCTGGCCAAGAAAGATTGGCTGTAACTTCTGTTAAAAAAACATTGTGTCCAACATAGGCAGTTTTTATCAAATGAAAGTAAAAGTCTACCATGAAATCTTGTTTCACAAATCTACTCATTCCCTCTGCTTCAGATTCCCAGGTGAATCCTTAAAAAGAAACTCAGCTTATTTCTGATGTGATTTGAATGCATTTTCAAATATATATGTGTGTGTGTTTGTGTACATAATATGTGTGCATGTGTACATAATATGTGTGTATATATGTATATGCTTATGTAGTATCTTTATAATTTTGTTTAAGTATTTTTCTCTCTCCAACACTTTCCACTGAAAAACTCAAAACACTTAAAAAAATAAACTTCATTTTTGGTCTTGATATATCATGCAAAAAGGCCAATGTGTAGAATTTTCATGAAGTTACACATTTTATGGGTTGTTGGATCTCTAAAATTGTTAAAAATAGGAATGTTGAACAACACCTAGACAAATGCAATCTTGTGGTAGAACTCAGAATTCCAACAATCACTGAACAGAATACTAAAGATTAAAATAAAATATGGCCAAAGTGAAAGTTGGACCATAGTTTATGACAGGAATTATAAAAGCTTAAGTTCATTATGTTGTTTTGATGACTTATACTTATCCCCTTATTTTACATGAATTTTAACTTCAATACAAATTTCAGGGTTAGCAAACAAATGTGAATTATTTTGAAAAACTATCATAGCAAGTAAAAGTAACCAAAATTGATGAATAAATCATTCATTCATTGGTTTGTTTGGTGCTGTTCTTTTTCTGCCATTTCCTGTTGGCGAATAGTTTCTTGTGCTGTTTGCTGCATTTTCTCTAATTTTTCAAGAGTCAGAGATTTCAGTGGCAGAAGTTTGGGTTTGCACAGCACCATGGTGGCCACATCTTCCACAGACAATTGACCTATGTATAAAGAGAAATAAACATTAATGGATTATTGAGCAAAGTAGTGGAAGATGTTAAGTTTGTACTTAAAACTGAGGTTGGAAGTGAAGTTGCCTGGAGCATTTTCACAATAACAAAGGTATGATGAGGTCTTGGAATTCCCCATGGTCAAGTTAAATAATAATGGCTGCCAGTAGACTATGGCAAGTATTTTATGTAAAGCCAGTCAATCGTGGTTTGAGTTTTGCTGATACCTGTAATGATATATCTGGGACCAGAGCAGCCAAGGAGAGACGAAAGCTCTTCCAAGATAGAGTACTGCCAAACCAGTTATTGACTGGGGGAGTCAAAAATACTTACTCTTTATTAATCCTTTTGACAAGTGAAAATCTAGGTGAGTGAGGCAGTTTGCTACACCAGACAGATAAAAGTGCTGGCTTGGATTTAGGATCTGGGATCCTACTTCTTTAGAATTCTTCACCAAATTAAAGAAGCAATATAGGGATTAGGATTTGCATACCTGGAGGGTTACCAAACACCAGAGGTCCTCCAAATTGCAAAATCAGTTTAGATCCTTGGAGTATGTTTAGCAAATCTAGGTAGGGTCAGACAAATTTAAAAATATTGTGTTCCATTTGAAGCAGGAAAGGGTTAAGAACAGTGTGATATAGTGGATAAATGAGCTATTTTCAGAGCTGGGAAGACTTAGATTCAAGTGTTGCCTCTGACATATAGGCTGACTGATCCTGGGCAAGTCACTCAACCTCTCAAATGCTCTAGGCAACTCACAAGATACAAGCTGCAAACTTGCAAATGGTAGGACTTTCCTCATCTGGAAGCTGGAATATGATGAATGAAGTATTAACTTCTTATATATGCTGCTAACTGCTACAGATACAAATAGAAAAGGCAGTCCTTTCTTTAAAGAAAGAAGGAACTTTCAATTCAAATTTCACATTCAACGAAATAAGTCTAGTCCCCATCCCTGTTTCTATTATTAAGGCATATCCAAAGGAAGATGAGGATAACAAGGGGTGTTGTAAACTACCTTGCCCCTAACAGTCTAACTCTGAGTCTTAGAGAGCTACCTGCAGCATTGAGAAGTTAAAGACTTTCCTAAGGTCACAAAATACATGTAAAAGTCAAGATTTCAATGAACTAGGTTTTCCAGACTCCCAAGGACATTCTATCTAGTAAGCCATACTCTCTCACATAATTCTAAGAGAATTAACAAAAACATGCCTTCTCCCTTTAAATAAAGGTTGCTGACTTCTGGGTTAAAGGAATTGGGAGACAACTTTCACATGCACCTATTTATTAGAAGCAAGGTACAGATCATAGAACTTGGATGCACAGATGTTCCATATTTTCAAAATGTTTAAGGGGAGATTTTAGGATCAGAGGATTTACACTAGAAGGGACCCTGGAGAAAAAGACCAACTCACTAAATTTTTTTTTTTTTTGCTTTTTGGTGAGACGATTGTGAGGCAATCAGGGTTAAGTGACTTGCCCAGGGTCACACAGCTAGTAAATGTTAAGTGTCTGAGGGTGGATTTGAACTCGGGTCCTCCTGACTCCATGGCCAGAGCTCTATTCACTGTGCCACCTAGCTGCCCCCAACTCACTAACTTTACAGATGGAAACAGGCACAGATAGATAACTTGTCCAAGGTTACACAAGGAGTAATAGCAAAGTTATTCAGCAAGGTGATTCAACCTCAAGTCACCTGACCCCAAATCAAGGGCTTTTAAAAATTTTGAAAAAAAATTTTTTTTAAAACATGCTTGAAGAGCTTTAAAAAAAAAGACTGTCACATATGGATGTACATAAAACTTGTAATATGTAATGTTTTCATAAACATTTTAAATTGCAAGAAACGAAAGCTTATAACTTAAGTATCTTAACTAATGGTTACAAATCAATGCAGCAAGATTTCTGGCACATCTCCCTTGCATCACTCTTTTCTTAGGAAGCTCAGGTTTCTCATCCCCTCAAATCTCTTCAGCTCCCCCCCCCCAAAAGGTATTAAAAACCTAAGTTTGTTTGAAGGAGGGGGGCAAACTTTTTTGTGGTAGCAGTTGTGGGAAACAATTATAGGGTCTGAAAACCAGAAGAATATCCTAATGTAGAATGCTTACTAAAAAAAAAATCCTTGGTGTATTACCTATCACTTTGTAGGGACCAATAAGTGTTATTGATGGGGGGTAATTACGTAATTACCTTGTTTGGGAAGTACTTCTCGGAACATTGACTTCACCTCTGCCATATCAGAACTGCTGTATTTTCCTTTATTTCCCTTTGAATAGAGTAAACATTTATTAATGTTATTTTCCTGGAACAAGTTCCCAAAGCATATTTCTGTAATTGATTTTGCTCCATGAAACATTGTTGGTATGATTCAAGTCAATAAGCAGAAGATGAAGAGTTTTCCCTGTTTATATAATTTCTCTAGAATCTTTTCACCAAAGTAGGTTAAAGTGAGTTATATGAATATCTTGTTCCTGGACCACTGCCTGTCTGGCAACTTTTTCTACTATTTGAGAATCTCCCTACTTATTAATTAGTAATAATAATTTGCCATAGAATCACAGGTTAAGAGCTCAAAAGGCCCTGAGAGGTCATCAAGTTCAAACCCCAAAGCTAAGGCCTACCTAGTGGCAGTTATATTCCATATTCTAAAATTTTTCCCTTCTACCATTTCTTGTGTCAATGAAAACTTCAATTAAAAATGAAAAGTGACCACAGGGTTTTGGCATCCTGTCTCTGAGAAAAAGATGATTTGGCAACGATTACAAGATGGCATTTATATTTAGAATCATCTTTACTTTCAAATTTAAGGTCTGGGGCTTAGTATCACTGAATTCCAGAAAATGGAGGACAAATAATTGTTACAGTCTCATCTCAATCCTAACATTTTCCCCATGGCTACAGATGAAGTGGGGAGGTAAGAGGGAGAGGAGTAGGACATGTAGATGAAGACAGAGAAATGAATGATGACAAACTGCCTGATGATATTCTCACTTCTAGTGGCAAACAACTAGCCATCCCTTAAAAACTGTCTTGCCTTAGGACAAGGAAAAACACATTTCACTTATAAAAACTTCTACTAGCTATATACGGTCACAGTTTCAAAGCAGGAAGAATCTTAGAGTGGTTAAAAGAAGATTTGGTGAAAATTTTCTCAGTTTTCATAAAGCATGCAAAGATACATATAAATGTGGTAACATTAAACCTTTTGAGTGAATTACTCTTCTCTAATCAGACATTAAAAAAGGCATGTTAATTGAACTAAATACATATAATCATGAACAATCTGTGACAAATATTCAAAAATCTATGTTATTATCTTGAGCATATATATTGGACCACCTTGATCAGATGCCAATTTTTATTACAATATGTTACAAAGATGATCTTGGACAAGGCTGACAACACAAACCTCAGTCTAAAAAAGGTAAATTTTGGTACACAAAGGTCTCTACTGAAAGCCCCACCCTTTCCTTGATGCTTAATTCTAGCGATGCAAAATTTCTATTCAACTTTCACAACATGATCACATTAAAGATGGATCTTTGATTTTTAAAGTGGCTGGGGTGGTTTGGTCTCTGCTAGAGCCTGCCTCCTCCACTCACAGCAAGTTAGTTATGATCAAATGAACCTGCTCCTAGGCCCTCTGATTTTCTTACCTACTCATACCTCCTTTCTGCTAGGACTATACACTTCCCATTCCCACAACTAAACCATTTCTTCAGCACCTATTTTAGAAATTCAGTCACAAACTGCTGGGTAGATAGCATACCCACCTTCCCATAACATGTTTACACCCCTTAATTATGGGTGTATCCCAAGACTCTGTGCTATGCTCTCATATTCTCTATATTCACTTGCTGATCTCATCAGCTCCAATGTGGATTTAATTATCACGTCTATGAAGATAGCTCCCAAATTTATATATCTTACAGGCACCTAGATGGTGCAGTGGATAAAGTACTGGCTCTGGAATCAGAAAGACCTCAGTTTAAATCCAGCCTCAGATACTTACTAGCTTTGTGCCTAGGCAAATTACTAAACCTCTGTTTGCCTCAGTTTCCTCAACTGTAAAATGAAGATAATAATAGCACCTAGTTCCCAAGGTTGTTGTGAGTCTCAAATGAGATAATATTTGTAAAGTATTTAATACAGAGCCCAGCACATTGTAAACACCACATAAATGCTAGCTATCGTCATCATCATTATTATTATAACTAGCCCTACTCTCTAGCTTGAGCTTTAGTCTTGCATTTCCATCTGCCTACTGGATATTTCAAATGGGATCTCCCCTTGGTATCTCTAATTAAATGTGTCCAGAAGTGAACAATATATTTATCCACCCCTTTCCTATCTTCATAGCCCTATTTCTGTCAAGGTTAACACCAACCTTCCAGTCATGCAGATTCTCAGCCTATATGTTTTATTAGACTCTTCACTGTCTCTTTTCCACAGATCCAATCAATTGTTAAATTTTGTCATTTCTACTTCCACATCTTTTGTATCTGTTTCCTTGATATGCACAGGGCCACAGTTCAGGTCCTCCTCACCTCTAGCCTAGACAACTGCAATAATGTTCTAATTTATCTCCCTGCCTTAGGCCTCTTCCCTGTCCAATCTGTTCTTCAAAGTGGTTTTTCCCCAAGGTGCAAGTCTCATCATGTTACAACTCTACTTAATAAAACTAATGGATGACTGTTGCCTTTTTAGGATCAAATGCAAATTTTTATTTTAGCTTTTAAAGCCCTTCACAACTTGGATCCAATCTGTCTTTTAATCCTTATGTTATTTCTCTTATATTACGACCAAATTGTCCTCCTTGCTATTCCTCACAAATATGACTCTTACTTTCCATCTTGTATCTTTGTAATGGCTTCCAAATACACAGTGTAACAGAAATGGCAAAGTCTTCATAATTAAAGTCCTACTTTCATGAACAGCTAATCTCTTATTTGCACAGTGCTACTAAAATGCTTGGAAATAACTGATTCTTTTACATAAAGTACACATTTTTCTGCTACCTTGCTTGTCCTTTTCTCTCCATACTGCCCAACATATTTGCAAGAGATTACATTTGTGATTTTACTCTATATCACTGTCCTTCGTATTCAAAGATTCTAATTGATTATGGTATCCAAGATCTCCCGTATGTGAACGTATGCCTAGAAACACTACTGTAGGAATAACTATTTGTCTTCTTATGATAGTTAAGATCTATAGGTGCATACCTCTAAGATGGTCACCCTGTTTATTCTATAGTTAATCTCCAATTTTTCAGTTTAGTTTTCTGATACTAAAATCTTCAACATCATTTTTGTATGTTTATAATTTTTATATTAATTATAGTTTTTGAATGATTAGTTACCCATATTGTCTACTAGACTGTAACTTCTTAAAAGGCAAGATCATGCTTACACATGTCCCTGGATGACAAATTTAGAATTCACAAAGTTTGAAAGGAAAAATGACACAATTAATCTAATAAGATGAAATTTAATCAAATGGAACATTTTTGGGCATGAGTTAAAAAACAACTTACATGAAAAGAGATAGGAAGATTTTAGGGAACAGTCAGCAGTGAAACAATAAAAAAATCAAATGTTATTTTAGGTTGAATTAAAAGAGGCAAAGTATTCAGAATGAGGAAAATGATAGTTCTGCTCTCCTCTGACCTAGTCAGACTATACAGAGTATATCTATCTGACATAACTATATTCAGTTCTGGATAATACTTAGGAAATCACTGCCAAGACAATACATCTAGAAGAAGGTGACCAGAATGGTCAAAGGACTGAACACTAGATCAAAAAAAGTAATGGTTGAAGGAGCCAGGAATAATTATCCTGGAGAAAGAATAACTTATATGATAACTTTTCAAGTATTTGAAGGATGCCATGTGGAAGAGACACTTGTTTTACATAATCCCAAGTGGGCAGAAACTGAAGTAATCAGTGGAAGCTGCAAGACAGATCTAAGTTTGATATTACGAAGAATTTCCTAACAATTTGGGGTATTTACATGTGGAATGGGCTGCTTCAGGAGGTAGTGAGCAGACTCTCCATCACTGGAGATTTTTAGGTAGAGGCTTGATGATGACGACTTTTTGGTCATGAGTAGAGGGGGCCTTTGGTTAGGAATGGGTTGGACTAAATCCTTTCCAACTCTGACATAAGATTTCTTTAACGTGGCCAGATATAAGGCCATGTAACCTGTATGAAGTTATTCAGACTATCTCCTATCTAGTTGCTTTTTTGCAAAGTCTATTTCTTCTTCATGTTCAATAAGTAACAATCATACTGTACAATTTGCTATGATGTTTCTATCAATGGTAAGACAGTCCTTGTTGCTGAGTAGTTTCATAAGCCAAAAGAAGGAAACAAAGCAGATAAATATAAAGGTTACCCTTTCTGACATCAGGGAAACATCACTAAAAACACTCTCTTGCTAGAAAAGAAAGAAACCCTTTCACCCTCCTTCCAGATTATCCAAGGTAATGAGCTTTTGTCACACAGCTTCTGGGAAACTGCTTTATCAGCAAAGCAGCCACATCAGCTATTCAGAAACTTAAGACGATTCAATTCAATAAACAAGCATGTATTAAGCTACTATAACGCTCAAGGCACTCTTAAAGAATAGTTTAAGAGCAGTTTCTCACTCGATACACAGTTTTGCTTCCATAGTTCTGTGCTTCTTGGCTACAGTTCTACACTAACTCCAAGATATGAAGCTAATTCCATTAGTTTGGCTCCATGGCCCTGGAAATGTGCAGTGATCATGGGCAGAGTCACTCAGCTATATGGGTGGCTATATGGGCGATGCTATATGGGTGGTGCATTCTTAATAAGGGGAGAATGACTTCTGAATGGCTATTTTGGTGGGATAGGTCAAATGTGGTATACACAAAAGTGCTGTTGTAATTGCCTATTGCCAAAGTGGTACGTGTACTTGCAGATGCTGTGTAAGTAATGAAATTTTCCCTCCATTTTAAATTTTTAAAAAATTATATTTTTCAAAAAACAAACCTGTCAAGAATGGGGTTCAGATAGTTACAGTAAAACAACTGAAAGCCAGAAGGAGAATTTTGTGACTTAAAAAACAAATTAAGTAAACATTCCTCTATTCCCATACTTAAAGAGATCTGAGATTTCACTGGAATGGATACTTTATCCATCACTGCAAATCACAATCTCTCTACACCTTATAGGATGTTTCAAGATGGCTCCAAAATTCATAACTCATCCTGGTGATAAAAGACCTTTAGGCTGGCCT